GAAGGCAGAAGGGAGGAGGAGCACGGACAGGCATCAAACGGAGGACGCAATATGCTCGGGGCTGAAGCTTATGCAAATATGAACAACACATGCCGGAGATGCTTTCTGTACGGGACAAGGATACCCATTCGCATAGCTTCTCCGAAAATCATGTCTTGCGAGCCGGTCAGACTCAGATTACTTGATGCATTTCCCAAGGAAGTCCGAGTAGTGACTGCAAATTATATTATTGTAAATAATGAGTAGAAGAGAGGTTGGAAATGTTACCTCCGATCATTTTCTTAGCCCTGCCGAAATGTAATCCAAATCTCTTTTCTGAACCTATATTAAGAATGTGTTTCGAACTATTATATTAATTTATTAATTTGGGTACTTCTAATTAAACCGTTTGGGGACTTTAAAGATATTTGCTCAAATGGACTTTATTATTATTTTAATATTTTGCATTTACTGTCTTAAAAGAAAGTATTTGAATATTAGTTAATTAATGATTTGGTTGTACCCAATATTCTTTGTGCCTTGATTTACTGTCTTAAAAGAAAGTATTTGAATATTAGTTAATTAATGATTTGGTTGTACACAATATTTTTTGTGCCTTGATTTTAGTAATTGTTCATTAAGCATTTTTTTTAATAATTTAAAATTTATTAAATTGAAATATAAGGCCCTCTTTTGGCTGCCGCAAAGACTCCCAAAGCAATCCAATTAGATTAATGCAAGGCAATACAAACAATTATGACTCCCATGATTGTTTTTCAATGGCTGATGACACGCGTCCTGTCCCCCGACCGCCCCCCTGCCGCCCCGGTCACCCCCTCGACCATTAATCAGCAATGTTGTGTGTCCAAATATGAATTTAATTAAAGGTCTCTTTATGACAACAAGCGTCGTCTGGGTCGTGTGCCTGGGTCCACTTTAAAATATTACCAATATTGTCAGCTCTCTGGTGTGACCTCCGCCCCCATCCACTTTCCCATGCATTAGGCTTATTAGAAGGACACGCGTTTGGGTTTGGTTAAGGGCAATGTGCAGTGCATGCAACTTTCGGTTGTCAAGGTTGCGTCCCTTCTGTCACTGGAGGATGAGTCGCCCCGGTCCCACCCCAGTCCTCACTTTATTTGCCGCAAACAGTTCACGCATCAAAGGACCTGCAGCGCATTTTTCAGAAAGGTGGTTGCTACCAGTGATTCCCAACTCTTCGAGTAATAGTACACAAGGGAAAATCTATATGATCTATTATTAAGGGTCAAAAAATTAATTTCATAAAATTATGGCTCACCCGACAATATCCAAGTTCATTTAATTATTAATAAAATAAACTGGATTCATAATAAATTATAATAAATATAATTAAAGTTATAGTTTATTTTTTCCTGTGTATTGTCTGGAAGATGGACCATAAAGGTCCTGTCCGGCTCCTTTTGATGATGTATTTCCTTGGGCCATAATGCCGTTACCGTTCCAGTTGATGCATGCAAATCCCGATTATGCACAGGACACGCGTCACTAGGCATCGCCCCTCTCCAAAACTCCACATCTCGAGCCCTCCAGTCATATATCTCCTTCTGGGCGTCACGTGCGTCTGCGACAATATGGCAACAAACGTTTGATTGCCAGGGTTACCAATATGCGTGGTGGATTTCGTTTTTTACGCATCTATTGTGGCCAGAACTCCCCCGGAATTTATTAACTCGGTGGAGCTGCTTATAAACAGAAATATAACGGATTCGCAGACTGACTGTTGCCATTAGATTCAAATCCGATTGTAAAGATTCAGTCAAACTTACACAGCTCGAGCAAACTTCTGCTACCAAAAGAGTTCGAGTTACATAACTTTACATTTGCATTTTTACAATACGAAAAGTACGATTTGAATATAATTCGACTTAAAGCCTAACCTTGCTTGCCACTTAAAGTCTTAACAATATATGAGATTTGGAAACAACTGACAATAGATTTCTGATTCTAACTTTAGTGAAAATAACTTAAAAACATAATAATTAACAATACGTATTAACAGGATTTAAATAAAAGATTTTTTAAAGATGTTTATTATATGGTGTAAAATCTACTGATCGTATCTGCTTGCCACTCAGACGGCTGACAACTCTGTTGGGTCACACCTTCTCATTGATGGCTGTCAACTCTGGACAACAAGGACTCTCCCTTTGTTTATGAAAAGCTTGAAAACGCTTGCAAATTATAAATCAAAAGTGACTTTTAATTAAAAGTTCAAACCTCTGTGGCAGTCGCAGGGCAGAGGGGTAGGCTAAGATGCTGACGCCAAATGTCGTTCGTCCGCTGGCTTAATTTTGTTTTGCCAGCGCACCCCCATAAATCACAAAAAGAGCAAAAGTCAGGGGGACGAGGGTTGAACTAGGTCCCAGACTGCCAGTATATTAATTGAAGGTGCAAATGCGACGCACTCGCACCCTCGAAACCAAAAAAAGACAGCGGCTGAAAACGGAAAACAATAAAGGATGAGGAGGACACGTCCTGGACCGAATGCAAAATACGCAACAGTTTCATTTTAGTTGGAGTTTTTCATGATCGTCCTGGGAATCGCCGCCACAAAGGAGCGGAAGTCTCGATTGCAGTCGCCGGAACATAAAACCCACTTGCCCACATTTTCACCCCTCAGGGGTTGTTTTTCCCTCCAACCCCCCACCTTCAATATTCAGTGTTGTCTTGGCAGCATTTTCCTTTCCTTTTCGGTGGTGGTGGTGTCAAGTTCTTTTTGCGCCGTCAAGTTGAATTATCATAAGTAATAATCATAGCCCAAGTATCCGGGGCAAGGTGCACCGAAGGGATGGGTGGGGTGTTTTGTTTTTCCTGGGCGGGTAAGGGTTTTCCATTATTGGGGAGTTTTTTAGCGGGTCGCTCAGTTAATTGCGCGACTCTTGGGTCTTTATTGGGATTTCTAACCAATCTGGGGTGGCTGGATTGTCACAGGGATTAGCAGGGAGCTCCCCCCGATATCCGATAATTAACCGGGAGTTATGAGCTGCATCTCCATTACTTGTAAAACAACTAAACACTCGAATAACACTCGAGGGAATGTTAGCAACCGTCTGATATTGACAAGCGTTAGTGCCTAAATCGGACCACGCCCACATGCCCAGGTGGGCGGGTGTATATCAGTCCAGAGAGAGAGATATACAAGGACCATGGTAAGAGTTGCCAAAGCCAAACACCACAGCAATTGAATGTCAGTCACAAAAATGCAATCACAGTGACACAATTTTACCGAGGCGCCACTTCAACACGTTGCAACTGCAATATCTTTACAGTTACAAAAGCCAACCCACACAGACACTAGGACACAGGACACACACACGAGGTCCGACGCACGAACGACAACTCTGCAAACAACACAATGACAACTCTTTAACACAGTTAACTTGGCAGCGCTGCAGCGACATTCGAAGTGATGTCGATGCAGAGTCATCCATTTGCAAATGCCCTGTAGCGAATCGGGAGTATCGCATCGCAACAGTGCGCGATAATGTAAACTTATCGGAGGAGCATCGACTTGTTTTACTGCAATACCCCTTAAAGATAGCGTTATCTCTTAAAGGTAGCTCTGATACCTATGTTTTATTTAATAATCTTAGATCGACACAAATACAAACTCTGGCAACAAAAAATAAAAAAATGTGCATTTTGGATTGCAAGTTATAAATTCGTGCATGCTTTCAGTTAACATTCAGTTAACTTATTAAAACCTATTTAAGAGTACAACAACTACATTATCATTTATACATTGAACTCTTTCAGCTTAATATGTATTTCAATGAATCACACCTGTTTTATGGCTTACCAGTCTATCTGCTATTTGCTGATATTAGTGATTATGATTAGCAAGAGGTTCATAGCTGATTAAACCAAATAACTCGGGGAAACCGCTGTCTGATGGATTTCAATTGGTTTTCTTATCTTATCAAAGATGCAAATAAATGTTGATTAAATAAACTGCTTACAATGTGATCAATTAAATATAAACATTTATATCCGATCTACTCTTTGCTGAATACACTCATATATTATCAATAATATTTGGAAATTCGCACTGCTTTCTTCTTATCCGAGGGTATTGAAAGCATCCGTATTTCGGAATATTTTTGGATTTCTTGGATGGGCGTGCTCGAGTGCATTTACACACACTCACACACTGGCTCAAATACAAACAGATGCCGTTGCCATTTTTGCCTTTGCTTGTTGTTGTTTGATTGCGTTTTTATCTTCGTCAGTTCAGCAGTGCCTGAATCTGGAAAACAGGACGAGTTGCAAGTGCAGAGGAAGTGCAACTGCAACTCTGAAAGGAAAGGGGCTGCAGCGATATTTTACTGCGACAACATTTCATCGCAAACATTGTGCAATTTCACTTTAAGCGACAATCGAATTTCATGTGATTTTTACAATCAGTTTTTCTTATTGTCTGGCAAACTTTTTACTTCTCTTCAAAGTCCGCAAAATGATTTTTGTTTCTATCCTTGTTGCAAAATGGGATCGGCAAGTTTTTAATTTCTAAAGTAACATGACTGGTTCATCATTGTTTTTGGTTTAGTTTCTCATTCAAGTACGACTTCGGTTCTTTTTGATTTTTTATCTAACTAGATTACTATTTATTTGCCAAAATTTAAAAAAATTATTTACACAAAGCAATACTCACCAATATTGCAGTCATCAAGAAAAAAAAATACGATTTCAGTCTTGACAATGCTGACGTATTTTAAAAGCTAAGGGAGTGCTGGCTGGCATTTTACTATTTTGGGCTTAGGATGAGAAAGCGTTACATTCCTATAGACCATAAAATTACGAACTCAGAACCAATTTCTTTGCGAAACGTGCAAATATTGTTAAGATACCCATAGTGGAATGAAAATCTTATCAGCTACAGTTATATGTAGTTATATGTTGTTTATTTAATGATGAATAAAAAGCATGAACAAAATTATGGGTCTTCAGTTCTCATCAAGCTAAGAACGCGAACGGATCGAAATGCAGACTCAAAAATTTACTTGGATTATTTTGCTGGCCATCTGCTTTTGTGGATGTGCACAGGTTAAAGCTACTGCCATTAAGACGCCCAGGCTCCCAGAAAACTTAACAGATTTTAAATGTGAGGAGGAAGACGTTGGATATCAATTCAACCTGACAGAGGTAATATACAAAATATATGTTCAAAGTATCTTCTCCCGTAAAATTTACATCTAAATCCCTTAATTGTTTAGCTGGCTGGATACTGGTATGAGGCTGCCCGAATGCCCAACGTCCAGGTGATGGAGTGTCTCAATGTCTCAGTTCCCTCTACGATCGAGAGAAACAACCTATCGCTGGAATTGAACTACGTCAGCACGGTTAACAGCGGTTGGAATTTCACCAAGGAGGAGGTCAGCTTTCCCTGGACCAACTCCACCCAGTACGGCATCTTCAATCTTGACGCGGGCAGCGTATCTTACAAGCTGGTCACCACGGACTACGTTTCCATCGCCGTACTCTGCGGCTACGGTAGCTCCTCGGTCATCCCGATCTTCAAGCTCTTCACTCGAACTCGCGAGGTTAGCCAGGAGATCTACGAACTGATCAATACCCAGGCCGAGCAATATGGATATGAATCCCTGATTTCGTGGGAGAAGCAATCGCTTGAGGAGTGCGGTGGATCCAGTGGGCAAGCTCCTTTGGCTGCTCTAATGGTTCTCATCACTTTTTGCTGTGGTTTTTCAGTTTTGTTTCAAGCTGGCTTCTAAATAGACTGTTCCATTAAAAAGCTTTAACTTACCTTACTAAAAAAATTATGTCAAATCTTTATTTAAGTGTGTATAAAAATATCTAACCAAAAATTCATTCAATTTGCGTTTCTTATGAAAAGCTCAGACTGGAAAACCGAACTTTGCCTGAAGAAGTGTCAACAAAATAAATGGCTTTAAATGCGATTTCGAAGAAAAAGGACATCTCCATAAAAAGTGCACGTGCAACTATCGATAAGATAGTCTGATAGTCTGATAGCAGTCTAAATCCTATCAGCGAATGTGACTCATAGCATATAGAAACTCGAATGTTTATTTACTATTTTTTCATTAATATTTCGACGCAACTGATAAGCACGTCATTAGAGAAGCAAATGCTTGTGAGGGATTGACACAGCGTTTAGTTGTCTGGACATCGGAACCGCGAACGGATCGAAATGCGGGCTGAAACATATATTTCTACGATTTTGCTAATCGTATGCTGCAGTGGAAATCCACTGATGGTTGCTGGTAGTCGCATGAGAATGCCCAAGTTGCCGGCGGCGGTAGAAGGCTTTAACTGCCGGAACGAGAGCATCGGATTCAACTTTAACCTGACACGAGTGAGTAGAAAATATCAGATTTATATTAAACAATAAAATTGGCTACTATCGGTGCAGTTAGAATTGAAAGTATGTTGGCATAAATAGCTTATGTCTTTAAAAATAAACCAGACAACTCTTTATTGTAACATTAACTGCTGAATAATTATCAATTGAAATTACTATTTTCGCTATGGCTTCTGCTTGTTCAGCTGTGCCAATCGTCGATGGATAATTTCTCATTTCAGGAGTTCGATCCTTTATTCTTAATCATCAAAAATTGATTTGTCTCAAGTCCGCTAATATTCCCTAACTTTATTTAAGCTATCTGGCTACTGGTATGAGGCTGCCCGAGTGCCCAATCTCCAGGTACTGGAGTGCCTGAATGTCTCCGTTCCCGCTGAGATCGAGAACAACACCCTTTCGCTGGACTTGAACTTCATCAGCACAGTCAACAATGATTGGCAGTTCACCAATGAATCGGTCAAATTTCCCTGGGACGACTCCACACAGCTGGGCGTCTTTAATCTGCAGTACGATAAAGTTATGGTCACATACAAGTTGATGTACACGGACTACGATAACTTGGCACTCATCTGCGGATTCGGAAGCATTTCGCCCGTCCCCCTCTTCAAGCTCTTCACTCGGAGGCGGGAGATCAGCCAGGAGATGATTGACTTTGTCCAGTCTGTGGCCGAGGAAAACGGCGTTGCTTCCCAGATTGCGTGGGACAAGCAGTCCCCGGATGAGTGCAATGCATCCAGGGCTCAAGCTCCTCTGGCAATTCTCGTGGGCTCAATCACTCTACTCTGGGGTCTCAGCTTGGGAATACGAATTTGTACTTAGGCTATATTATTTACTTACTGAGTATTCATTTTTTACTACAACTATCAGTAAAAACTCTTATCATAATTGTCTTTTTTATTTCAAACGAACTTTGTTTTATTTGGGGTCATTATAAAAAAATATTGTCGACATTTGTTATCTTTTTGGTCAGGCCAAACAAATTATGAGATAATTTGAGACGTAATTAAAATTAAATAGCTTCTAAGCCACTTTTGTCGGATACCCTTATATTATTATTAATATTTAAAGGTTTTTTAAATATATTAAAATCGGAGAATATATCATACGATCAAAAAATTAAATTTAAGAATTAAGAATTAAATTTGTGATTTCAACGTTGTGTCGGTAGATTAATTTTTTGACCCATTCTATGTTTCCGATGACTTGTAAAAAGGTGACCCACAATTAGACTTATAGGGGTATATTAACTTCGGCTTGCCGAACTATATTTCCTTTCTTGTTTTACTCTAGCTTTGTTTATTTTGTTTTCCATTCTCTTAGCTGTTGTAGAATCCTCTCTTCGGGCTGAAAAGCGGTTTGTATTCCGATTAGGTCATGCAATCGCATTTCATACACTTTTTGACGTAGATGGAAGGGTGCAGTAAGGGCACATGCCCCAATAAGCTCATACAAGAGCAATTACGAAGCCCAAAATTCCAAAGGAAAATACTGTGAAATATGAACGGAGCTCGGGCTAAAGAATTTTGTTGGTTGCTCGATTTTCTTGGCAATTTTCATTTTCATAAGCTCAATGCAGCAAAGTGGCTGGAAAATAAAGTAAATGGAAAATGCTTCAAGTAGCGATCGAACTATTGTTGCTTTCACTGCGAGAAGGAGAATTTTAAAATGCAGCTTTGGTATTTATTCTGGTAAATTAGAGCTTGAGAAATATTTGGTTAAATATAATAAAGTTATGAATTATTATAATAAATTTTTAAAATAGAATTGAACGACTTTTATTAGATAGCTTGGAACATTTTATTTATACCGCCTAAAGAACAATGTATTTAATTTGTATTTCCATATTAAAAAAAATAAAGATATCAATGAAATTTATTTTGCAACAATAGTTTTAATCTTATTGCTTTCAAAAGTGGTATACACTTCTTGGACCTTCCCTATTAAGCAGAATTTGTATTCGACGTTCTTTCGCCTTCAAAGCAATATTTGTAAAAGGAAAACATTTTTTCCTCTGTGCCATTTGGCTCTCAATTGCCTCCGTTCTTGGGCGAATCAATGAAGTGCAAACCGTGGTCAAATGAGCCGGAGTTGGGAGTCCTGGAAAGTCCTCGATGGCCGGGCACTTTCATTGATTTGATGCGTTTGCGTGCCGCTTGCGGTGGTTGCATGCTTGACTTGAGCGCCACCCAAAGCCAACTGGACGAGGAGGAGCTGCAAAGCTGTTTACTTGCAGCTAACCAAGTGAAATTGAAAGCCCTTTTGGCCCCGATAATTGTGTCCGGTCCTGCCACCGATTCCGCTCCTGCTCCTCGTCCCTGGGTAATGGGATACTGGGATTGGGGTGTGTGTTCGTGCACCACATGATTACTCGGCCCCGAAATCGACGTAATCATGCGATGACGCTGCAAAAGTATCCGCAGCCTCGCCAGACGCCCGGCCACGCCCCCAAAACAGCACACACACAAAACATAGTTGAAGGAACGGAAAATAAGTCGAGGGAAAGCCAGCTGAAAACGAAAGTTAATGTGGCACATCGGTGGAAGGGTTAAACGGAGCCAACAAGTGAACCCCAGCGTACGTGTTCCAATTAATTTTGACATTTGCTCTTAATAGATGTGCAACAAGGTTTCGATTTCGATTGAGTTACGCCCCCAAATTGTGTTCATAAATAATGTTCTCCCTCTCGTAAGTTATTGGTTGGATGGACTCACTAAGATAAGTCGATCGGAATGCTTAATAAAAAGGTTAACCAATTTACTGCCTATTTTGGGGATTGAAATGTGGAGAGATTATAAAAATAGTTATGCGAATAAATAATGGCAAGCTTTCGGGTTTGAAATGTGGAGAGATAACAAAAATACTTATGCGAATAAATAATGGAATAAATAATCAAGGTATTTGTTTGTTGTCCTTTCCAGAGCAGACTGCAATATTTTTTCATACCAGTTTTTACAATTTTTAAATTCAAAAATTTCAACCCTTTGTCAACCTTTCTCTAAAGTCTGCTTGTATCTTGTTGGGCAATCTGCGGATAGTTTTTCAACCTACACAATCCCCAACTCATTACGATTAACCCCTGGCAGGCCCACAATTTATGCTCTGCACCACGAACTGCTCAAAAATGCAACTATTCAAAATGCAAGCGGAAAAATCTGGCCAAACTTTGCGCATACTGCACACAATCGGCACTAAAAACAAGGAGAAAAGGAGCCTCCAACAAGGAGGCAGCCAAAAAAAAGGAAAGCCTGCTGCACAAACATGCGAAACTATTAAAAACATGTCTTTGTCCTTTGGCCCGGGGTGCATATAATGAAATTCCTAGCTGCTTTGTGCCCACAACGAAGCCACTTGGCGAGATGTCCCGATCCCTGATCCACTCCCCCCTTCTATATCTATATGCATATCTATATGTACATATACCCCTGGTGTGCCCACTCTGCTTTTTTGCAGTATCAATCTAGGTGAAATATTAACAAGCGGGAGTCGGGACTAAAGTTGGCGCGACGGAAAGCCGAAAGACAGAAGGACGACGGCAAGGCAGCTCATAAAAATTCCTTAGTTGACGACAAAAGCCCAGGACACTGGAGGAGATTACGGGGAGTTGGGGGATGTGGGGGGATGTGGAGATGTGAAGAGCTTAAAGCGAACCAAACAGCGCTGAAACAATAGACTTGAGTTAACTTAAATTGATTCCCAGACTTTCGCAGCGAAATGAAACTCAACTCAGTCTTCGCCATTTTGTTGTGACTCCAAAGTCACTGGATGCCCCATCCCCTTGCGGCACTCCTTGCACCTTGATTGCAAGTTATTTGCAATTTTGTGCAAATTTAAAAGCAGAAAAGGGACCAAAATGAAGGAGAATCCAGCCAGACGGCCCTCAACCTCCAGTCGGTGACTTTGGCACTGCACTTGAAAATTTTTTAAGAGTGCGCGAAATTTTTTATGCAATTTGTGCCGGAAAAGCAGGAAAAGTGGAAAAGCGCGGGGAAAAGTGAAGGGTCGGGTGGGCCATTGTTGTGCCCAGGAGATTGGCTGACTCCTCCTCCGTCTGCTCAATTTACTGGTTTTTTTTTTTTGCATTCGGGATATTAAAATTGACACTTCATTTGTGTCACTCACTGTGGCAGCGAAGTTTAACGGATTTTATATGATTTTCAAGCTGCTGCATTGTTGTCGATTGTCGTTGATTGTGCAGCAATTTGCATTGAAGGAATCAGAGTGGAGTCCTTGTTGTGGTTGCGGATTTGACTTAAGCTGAGTTGAGTGCTGCATTTTCCGAACGCAGAGTGTTAAATCGGGCGGTGGAAGTGCAATTTAATAGAATGTTTCGGTAATGGAAGAATTGAAAAGTTCTTGCCAAATTCCGGCTTATTGATACTCGGTTTATTAAACGGCGATATATATATGTTAAAGTTTGAAACATTATAAGCTTTGTTTTAAGAATTTGTGACTTATTTTTAAATGGTTTTTCTAAGATTTTTTGCAGTTCAAACACATCGCAAAATCTTCGGATCCGTCATAAGCATTTCGTTTATTGTTCTCGACGAAGGAAATACCTTGATGTTCACCCACCTCCCAGTATGTCGTCTTTATTTACTACAACCCTCCACTCCTTCGCCAAAAGAACTAGGCCCAAGGAAGATTTCATTAAGTGCCGGCCGTGGAAGTCCTGCCGCCATCCGCCACTCCTGCAACATGCAACAAAGGAGCTGCAACAATGCCCGACCAACAGCAACACCAACACGAAGGTTGCACTTGAAGTCATTCAGCCTCGTACTGGCAGTGCAAACTTTTTAAGTGAATTTTTGATTAGATCTGGACGAAACTTTTTTGTCGCACAGTCCGGTAAGTGGAGGTGGGGAAGGGAGGGGAAACGAAGGGTAACGGCCATAGATATAGTTGCCTTTCCAACTTAAAGTCACCAGTTAGTTGCGCTCTTTTGTAATTTGCACAGAAGTATATTTATTTGTGCGAAAGGATAATAATAAAATATGCGCTCTAGATAGTGTTGCGCCAGTATTGCAAAGTTGTCCCTGCTCCAATGTCCGACTTCGTCCTTTTGCCCCCTTGGACCCCAAGTCCTTTAAGAGCCAACGAAACTGTACCTACTGCAACTTTTCGCGAACAGTTCACAGTCTGACTCTATCCCCCCCCCTCCCAATGCCAAATATTGCATCGCTGAAGTTTTGCGCAAAAGTTAATAAAATTATTTGCCACAGACGTTGATAAATATGAAACAAGTCTCTGGCAAGTGGCAAATAAATACAGAAACACCAACACGAAAAGGCGCAGAAAGGTTAGGGACTTTGTCTCCTATATGAAATATTTGACAAAGTTTTATTGCAATTTCTGTTCAGGTCGCTTTAAGTAATTGCTGTGCGGTAGAAAAGTGACCATCAGATTTTGGGATAGTCTGATTTTGGATAAGAAATCCTTCCTCTTTCTTGTTTAATATTAAATATTTCTTTATACGTTTGATTTCTTATCTATGTGATAATAATAATATTTATTTGATGTTCATTGCCATCTCACCCTCAATCAAATGGCAAATAATAAAAGAGTGAGGGGAAAATCTTTAAATTGCAAAGCGAGCTTCGCTCAACCCTTCTAGGTTTTCCATGGGTGCTTCCTTTTTTGCCAGCATATGCATTCCGTGTAGTTATTATTCATTGTCGTGCTTCAGCAAATATCAAATGGAGTCCGGCGAGTTGCTGCCGGGGATTCTTATTCCCTGCTCTTTCCGCTTCGCCATTCGCCGTATTTTGTTTTCCCTGTTACTTACACTTTGCACATATGACCGGGACGGATGTGGATGTGGATGCGGATTGACGAGGATGTGGGGGTGTGGTTGCTTTATTGGCAACCCCATAACGACATTGGCAAAAAAATAAAGCAACATTTTTA